TTTGCCTATAGATTGTAATCAAAAATGTGATTGTATTATGCATAAAGCGTTTGCATTTTGGATGCGTTCACGAATCACTTGTAAGGAATGTAAAAAAGTGAAGAATATTGATGAGCATATGGTCGAATGGCAATTACATTTAAAACAACGTAATTTGGATAAAAGGAAAAGGAATGGATTATCTAAATTAAAAGCATCTCAATCATCTTCATCACAGGATTCAAATGGTGTTATTATTGCTCGTGATGACGATGATGATAAAAATGAACTATATCAATGTTTGAACAAGTTGATAAATTTTTTTTGATGATATTTATATTGTATAACTGTGACATACTTTATAATTAATTGGAAAATTATATATTTATTTAATATTAGAAATTTATCTGAAGAATTATTATTTGGATATCAATGTGAATTTTGTACTGAAAGGAAAATCAAAAATGGAATACCTCCAGAAGATGCAGCCAAACCTACAGAGGTATGTTTGTGTAAACAACAAAATTACGACTAGAATGAATATATTTATTAATTTAGATTATTTATTATTATTATTATTATTATTATTATTATTATTATTATTATTATTAAGAATAATTGTACCAGAACAATTACTGCAAAAAAATTACCGCCTGTACTAGCCTTTGTTGTAGATGTAAGTTTTTTAAATAGTACGATTATTTCAACTAGTTATTTACATTAAATTTTAAAATATTTTTGTATAGCGATTTCATCGAGATAATAAAAAAACTGTCAAGAATGAAGCAGAATTGACATTCTATGAAGAGATTGATATGAGTGGTTACACTAGTATCGCGCAGGATATTTTGATAAATGGAGGATCATTGTATGTTAATCTTTTATATAAAAGAGTATTTATCAAATCTATATAACAACTGATATATTTATTTATATAGAGATGATGTTGAGCCATTTAAATATCATTTGTTATCGGTTGTTAATCACGAAGGTAACTTGAACACTGGTCATTATACTGTATATTGTAAAAACCGTGGTCAGGTAAAATTCTCATTCTTAATTAGAAAAAGTCCATTTTATTTTTTGAGAAAAATAAATTTATTATTTGTTACTACTATTGTTTAGTGGTTTTTATTTGATGATCATACTGTAAGGTTAGCTAGTTCCTCTGAAGTTTTGGCGTCTAAACGTAAAGCGTAAGTTCCAATTATTATATCAATGCTTAGTTAATTAGTTATTTAATTTATTATTTATTTTTTTTAAAAAAATATATATAGCTATCTTTGTTTTTATATTATGGACAATTTGCATTACGACCCACCTCTCACTTTAAATTGATCATGCACGTATAAATAAAAATGAATCATGACAGATGGAACGATTTGAATAATAAAATTCTATCATAAATTAATTTAACATTTTCATGACATCATTTGCTGATAATGACTTGTATTT